TATGTATATATGTATATATATGTATATTTGTATGTTAATTGAATATATTTGCTGTATTATAATTAAAATGGTAGAAATGGTAGTCGTAAATGTTTCATTAATCCATAACTAATTTAATTAATATTAATTTTAACTTTCACGTACCTTCTTTTATATTTTCATAGAACTTCCAACAAAACTCCATCATCAGGACTAATTTATCGTAACAACTTCGTAGTAACTTTCGTAAATCAATATAGTGACTTGCACCGTATAATATGTAACTATCGCATCAAGTGTTTTACTGACAAAAAGCGTAAAGAAGCTTGTTCCTTGCAATGAATGTAGATCGACTGTTTTATAATTCGGCGTACAACGACAATGTATCGATATTCGTCAATACTTATATATCATCGATTCTATCCTTTTTTTCGTATACGTAATAATTAAAAGCTTATTATTGATAGACAATAACTATAATCTGCGTTCAAGGAACGCGTTATCAGAGCTATTGCATCATTCTACCATTGTTTTACGTTTGATGAACAATAAAGATAAATGATACAACAATACTGATAGCGCTCCTTGAACGCAGCTTATAATTATTGTCTATTTGTGTTCTTAGTCCGAATAAATTCTTGGAAATTTTGGGAAAAAACCGTTTTTTTCCGGTTTTTGCCTTATCATATTTTTCCAGACTTTCTTCTTCTAAGATAACTTTATTTTTATTATCCTTTATGTAAATAATTTCATTAAATTATTAATTTCTTTTACTTTTAAGAATTCTAATAAATAAATTCATTTATGAATAAATATTAATAAGATTAAAACCATTTTAAATAAGTACATCACCTAAATATGAAAAGCGCCACTTGACGAAAAAAATTAAGTGTTAAACTAATACAGATACGTACTCTTATTTTAAATTAATTTATTTCAGAAATATGACTGCGCGCCGTTACTGCTGAATTTTCAACGCAATCCGTCTGAAATATTAATAATCCTCTCAAATTTAATCTTAAAAACCTGTAATAAACTTATTACAAAACTATCCATTTATAAATAAAGTTCCCTGTTATGATCATTTATGAAATTTTTTTGAATTTATGAATAAGTTTCTCTCACCGCCCTCTCTTTTTCTCTCTCTTTCTTATGGCAAAGACATTAAATATTAAACCTCAACTACATGAGTAAGTCATTTGGATCCGGGTAAAAATTTTAATCTGCTACTATTTTTATACGGTTAATATTGCAGAGTTTAAATAAAGAGATAAAAAAATTTTCTCTATCGCCGTTATGTAATTGCTTCATTGTTGTCTTGACGCTAATGTGATGCAATAAAAATTTGGCTTGAGTGACTTGGATCCGTTAAATGTAAATTCGATAGATTTTTGCAGAAAGTGAAAATTTATTTTTAGTAAGTGCCTGTTTATTAATACTATATTCAAGTATATATATTGTCTTCTTATAATTAAAACATATGTTCATTGTCAAAAAATTCGTTCTTGCAAGAGAGGCGTCTTGGTGAAACGATCCCTCTATTTTCTCTGAGTTAAATCATGAATAAATAATATCGAAATCATTACGTATTAGATGGAGTAAAAAGAAATCCATTATTTTTCCATTCAATTTCATGCAAAAATAATGGATTTCTTTTCACTACACTTAATATTTAATACAAAATATTTTCATTGCATTTTTTTTTTTAAAGAAAACACATACAAATACATACGACATAAATCCGACATTATTTTTCTGAGTATGTGCATAATGCTCCCACTTCAGTCGCACAACTAATTATACTTTTTGGAATGAATTAATGTAATGTATTTTTTTTTCTTAACGTTCAAGTCTTGCTGTTTTCAAAACAGCTACTTACTTTTATTTATATTTTTTTATCATAAAGATAGAATTTTTTGAAAAAAAAAACCGATTACTTCACTTTTCATAAAATGTTCTTTAATATTTTTTGGCATAACTTTTTCTATTATTAAAATTTTTTTATATTGCGATATTTCGATTTTATACATTCTGACATATTAAACAAAAAAAATTTTTTATTGAGATCATTTATTGTAATTACAGAGCTAATCAAAAAAATTGTGGGTGACTTAGACTCAGACATGTAAATTACAATTCTAAAACAAGACATGTAATTGAGGATTAATTAAAAAAAAAAAAAAAGTATAGACGTGATATTGTAACATAAATTTAATGTTTTATACTATACATATATATCATAAAACTTATTGTGTTATAAAAAAAATATGTATATATAAAAATATATAATATATATGTATAAGATAAAAAATTTAACAAGTATTTTTTTATAAGAGTATTACAGGTATATATAGATGTATTTTGTGTAACAAAAAATATTAGTATTTTGTACTTCATTATCACAGAATATACAAATAATAATAAAAATAAATATCTTATACTGTTACTGATTATTGAATTTTAGCTTGATCAGTCTCAATACACTTGAAAAACCTGTCATTTATGTAATAAATAATAAACGGGAAACAAATCTTCTATTTTTTTGCGTAAAATAATTTAAAATGATTTTTTTAAAGCAACATTCTATCATTAAATTCAAATATAGACCAAAAAGAACCTATTGAAAGAATTTTTTTGGTGAAAAATGAAAAAAATTGAGTTTTTTCCTCGATTTTATTTTTCTTAAGAACTTAAGAGAGCAATTTTTACATTTTTCAGAAAAAATTGGAAAAAACCAGAAAAACTTCGTCTTTTCCTCGATTCTATTTTAAAAATTAAGAACTCTATTATCTATCGATAATAAGCTCATTATTACGTAAACGCAAGATAAAAACGAGTACATTATCATCGTGGCAATATTTTATTTTACTTTTGTGACAAACGTCACAAAAAAATGTAACGAATTTAATTATTACAAAAATAAAAGTTAAAGTTCGCATCTAATAAAGACAAAGATGCTTTATATATATAAAGATTTTTCATACATTTTATATTTATAAAGTTTTTTATATTTTGTGCTTATATTTTATTTTGTATACTATATATATTATTATGTATACTATATAATAGTACATTTAATTAGTTTTTAATGAAAAAAAATAAAATTTTATCAATCTATTAAATTTTCAAATTAAATTTTGGAGTTCCTACAGAGGAGCGACTTTTTAGCATCACAATCGAAAGCGCCGATCCGTAGTTATTCTGTAGTGTTATAGAAAAGTGTCACGAATATGTTCATGGGCCATTTCGTGGAGCGACAAGAAGCGTTGCGGATATGTTCAGATGGGCATTTTTCTCTAACGCTACAGAATAACTGCGTATGAACAGGTCGGCGCTTTCGATTGTGGTATTATAAAGTCTGTAGGAGCCTTAAAAACTTAATTTGAAAATTCAATAGATTGATAAAATTTTTATATTTTTTTATTAATAACTACTAATTAAATAT